CGAGACGACGTATTCGAGATTATATTCGATGATGCTTATTATGTACTATGATTGATTCAGTTTTTCCTTATTAATTGATTGCATCCATGCATTGTAATTTGAATATATTTCTTTTGGATTAGTTAAACAAAAACTATGGCGGACAATACCGGCAGAGAGGGAGAAGAGGCCCTGTTCAATATCATACGCAATCCTCGCGGGCCAGATGATGATCAGAATGAAGAAGATTATGATGGCTCCGAATATCTAAACAACACCGGGGAGGGTGATATGATATTCGATCGCGACGACCGAATTGATGAAGTCATGAACTATGAACATGACGAAGAAAATGTTGATCTTGAAACAACAAAGACCGGCGAGGTATATATATTTATATAAGCACGCATCTGGTGATCATCACATGTTTTAAATGACTTGAAGATATATTAACGAATCGATCTTTCTTCTTTCAGCCATCCGGATCGAGCAAATCTTCAGGCAACAGGACGAAACGAGGCCCGAACAAAAAGTTGAAGGAGGGCGTAAAGTACAATATTGAGGCAATCAGACCTAATGGCGAACCATTCGCGCCTAAGAAGATTGCGGACAAGTTTGTTCGTCAGTGCGGAGTTCTTGTGAAGGACCAACTCCCGATCTCCCTTCAAGAATGGAGAGAGCCAGCAAAGCCACGTCCAGGAGTTACTTTTGTCGACGACAGACAAAAACATTTGCTTTGGGAGACGCTCATGGAACATTTCACCCTACCAGATCATTTCATAGATGCAGATGTGGAGAAAGTCAAGGACGCTGCTCTTAGGAAGATGGCGGTTGCATTCAAGAACCACAAGATTCGTGAATGGGCCAAGTACGTCAACAGAGGAAGGAAGACTCCAGTATTCGAGGGAACACTAGAGAACCAAAGTGCTCATTGGGACGATTTCGTGAAATTCAAGGATTCGGAATTATCTAAGGAACGGTCGAGAATAAACAAGGCCAATGCCGCAAAAAAGGATAAGTTCCATAAGCTGGGGGCCAGGTGGCTATGCGGTGGGAATGCCTAAGTGGGATAAGTCTGAAAAAGAAATGCTGGATGCAGGTGTCACTCCAGAAACATTGAGTTGGCCCCCCAGATGCAGGACTTGGTTCTATGCGCATGGGGGGGAGTTGGACCCGAAGACAGGCAAAGTTTCGAAGAAGGCATGTCTGGACGGAGCCGAAGATAAGCTACTTGTTGCAATAGAAGAGGCTCGATCCGGGTTGTTCGAGCCCAACAGAGAGAATGACGAGCTTACGCGTGCCCTGGGAAATCCTGAACACCCGGGAAGAACACGAGGCATGGGCGCTATTCCGTGGTATGAAGGGTTTTCGCACTGGAACGCTGACTACAGAACCCGTGCGAGAAAGAAGATTGCAGAGGAGAAGAAGAGGAAGATGGAGGAGCAGATGAAGCTAGACTATGAATGCCTTCAAGGCCTAGAATCAGCGCACGCGGACTTGGCAATCAAATTCCAGCGGCAGCAGGAGCAAATCGACTCACTTAGCCAGCAAAGGGGGTCTCAGCAGCTAGCAGATGATCCGCCAATGGATAGCACCGTCCCATCCATGCCGAGAAGCAGCGTGGGTTCCACCCCGGGCGATGCATTGCTGGATAGCTACCCAGTGGATGACATCATGAAGAACACTAACTGCGAGCTACACTTCAAAATGAAGAACATATCCATGAAGGTGGCGGACGCCCTTGCTTTTACAAATCCCCCCGAGGAAACCTTCCATTGCAACCCGATTCCAGCGGACTATGCTCGTGTCTTGGTTGATGAGGTGGTGGACTAATATTCGGGGCTAGAGCTTGACATTCCTGGAGGTGACGATGAGCACACACTAGGAGAGGCCAACCATCATATCATTCTATGGAGAAAGGATTGCATCATCTTTCGAAGGCCACCGACACCGCGTCATCCGACTCCTCGTCGCAGTCCGCCACCGAGTCAGCAGACTCTCGCTCCTCCAAGTCCACCAACGCGTCAGGCCACTCCTCCTCCAAGTCCGGCACAGCTTCTGGCCACTCCTCCTCCAAGTCCGGCAAAGCGTCAGGACACTCCTCCTCCAAGTCCGGCACAGCTTCAGGCCACTCCTCCTCCAAGTCCGGCACAGCTTCAGGCCACTCCTCCTCCTCCAACTCAGCCACGTCAGCCGTCTTCACCGCCTCAGTAATCACGAAAGGGAGCCGCCTCAGCTATGGTGCGTAGCGGTACAAGTCGAGGTAGTACTGCAGGTACAGGCGGAGGCAAGCGATTTCAATATGGTCCAAGCCTCGTGCCTCTTCAGCAGAGGCCTTACGACAAGTCCGAGGAGGAAAACGTAGCCATATCAAAGGCCGAGGTGGAAGCCCATTTTGCACCGAAACCACCACCGCCGCCAAGGGAGAAAGTGCCTGTGGAAAAGATTGGCCACTTCATTCGTATGGCTAGACCACCAGCTCCCAAGCCTGTTGACACAGACTATGAGCGCCACCTCAGGAAGTTAAATCGAGCACGTCTACAGAAAGAGGCGAGCTCGAGCTCGAGCAAATCAGCTGGCAAAAGGAGCAGTAAAACCGTTCCCCATCTGGGAGAACAGGCGGCGCAATCAATCCCCCCACTTGTTGTGCCAACAACATATGAGAGTAGGCGCGCCCAATATTATTGTGGGCAAACCGTTAACATTCCTGGGGTGGGCGATGTGGTAATAACCGAGGAGCATATTGCGCAGGCTGAATCGATCGGGATCACTGTTGGACAACTCCTCGATATCGAGCCCATGTCTCCGACTAGAGAGGAGGAAATAAAACGGAAATATGCCCGGGGCCAACCTTTGGTCGAGCCAGAGGAGGTCAATAAGCTCCCAACGAGAATGTATGAATTGCATCAATGGTACATGGACATTACCAAGATTTCTAATCGAGAGTCCCTCATGGTGAATGTCAACGAGGAGCATTACTACCATAAGAAAGTTGTGACCGTTGAGTATTCAGAACTATTTCAGCTATACAATAAAGACGCACTCGATAAATCTATCGTCAGTTGCTATTGTCTGTAAGTGATTTCTTTCTGTAATTTAAGTCTCAAGCTAGCTATAGTGATCATTTTGATCAATCATTACCTGTAATTATCCTCACTATATTCTTTTCTGTGGTATTATGCAGGATGAAGATTTATGAAATAAAAAAAGGTGGACGCTATAGCATTGGGTTCGTTGACCCAAATATCATTAACAAATACACATGGAAAATAGATCCATATCACGAAAAATGTGTAGATGAAAGCACGCTATAGTTCTTCAAGGAACTCAAATACAATGAAGATATACTACTTCCTTACAAAGGCCCTGAAGCAGGCGCCGGGGAATGATCTATGTGCATACTACGTTTGCGAGAACATTCGCATGATGGCGTCCGAAAGGAGCAAATCTCAAAGATAGGAGTGGGTACGATATCGATTGTCAAAACACTATTCACAATTTTTACACCATTATCGATATCTAGTCACACAACTAATACACATGCATATTGATCTCATTCTTAACAATTCAAAGAGGTCCGGGACAAGCTCTTAGCACATGACCGCATAGAAGCAATTCAAGAGGAAATACCGGGATTTTTGCTCGACCAGGTCATAGATCCCAAAGAAGAATACTATTACCCGCTACCGCCCCCATGAACCACTTTCAATTGTTATCGTGCTCCGAAGGCACCAATTAGCTAGGCTAATGCCACTGGCTCCGGAAGCACCAATTAAGAGAAATTGTATATATATATACATGTGTGTATATATGTGTGAATTAATTAATGGTGGTTGTGAGACATTCGATTATATATATATATATATTATGATCGGTTCTACTAGAAATTCTATTTATATATATGCATAACGTGTACAATATGTAGTATCGTAAAATACCAGCAAACGAAAAATAATTAAATGGAAAACACAAAATTAAATGAAAAAGAAATCATAAACCCAAACCCCCCCAACATTTTAATACCGGTTGGTGACACCAACCGGTACTAAAGGGCTCCCTGCCCCCGAAGCTGGCCCGTGCCACATGGTTGCCCTTTAGCATCGGTTCGTGCTGAACCGGTACTAAAGGGGGGGCTTTAGTGCCTACATTTTAGCGCCGGTTATCAAACCAGCACTAAAGGGCCTTACGAACCGGTGCTATTGCCCGGTTCTGCACTAGTGAGGAAAGGAGAGCGAGGGGAAGAGGGGGCAGCCCTCGGCCCGATCATCCAATTCTACGGCCTTTTTTTTAAGTCGAGTCGTAAGGAAAGATCGATAGGATTTGGTCCATTTGGTGTCCTTCCAGACGGAGAAGCGAGAACCCTTTCTGCTTTGACCGCTTGCCCTCCTGGCACAGATGTGGAAAAGGTCTCAGTTGCGGAATCAAATATGAATGAAGTTAGACCACCGGCCTGGGCCGGACCCGGGTCTAGGTTTTTTGTCTCGGGCTTGGCTAGGCCCGGCCCGAGGTTTGGCCAGGTATATGCCCGAGTGATGGTCACGCAAGTACGAATGTCTGGTGATTAGGCCCACAATTAATCCATCACTTAAAGTCACACGGTGGTGCACCAACCGGGCCCGTAGACATGGCCCACAAGTATCATGAATCAGGAGCAGCAGGATTTCTCTAATCAAAATAAAAATGGAAATTTCGCTCAAAGCGAAAACCAAAACCAATCAATCGATTGGTCCGGGAAGGGAAGGAAAAGGGGAAAGGCGAGGGAAGTAGAGAAGAGAAAGCAAACCCGTCCCCTCCACCCCGACGGAGGCCATCCGGTTCGCCGCCGGCCCGCTCCTCCTCCTCCTCGCCGGCGTTCGCAAGGTACGCCCCCCACTCCCGATCCCCCCAGCTACGCCCCGCGCGAATCCGCGCGATTGCTATTTCGCGCGGTCAAATTCGGCGGCAGATCCATCTGCGCCCGAAATCAGAATGTTTTCTCCGAGTGACGAGCGCAATCTGCTCCCCCGAATTTCAGAGGTCCCATGGAGGAGGACGGCCCTAGCCGGAGCGGCCTGCCGCCGGTCGGGGAGTGCGAATGGAGGGAGGAGCTGAGGCAGCAGCAGTCCCAGGTCGAGGCGCTGCGCGACCGGCTCGTGGAGGTCAAGGTCGGGATGCGGCGCTCCGAGGACGATTCCGGCCGGGAGCTCGAGCACCTGTGCCGCAGGGTCAAGACCATCGCCACCCTGCTGGCCTACCTCAAATCCAAGGCCAGGATCATGGCGATACCGCACCTCGCGCACACGTCCTGCGGGATCAGGAACCAGGACGGCGTGGGGTTCGTCGACAGGCATGGGGTGCCCCTGGCCGATTGGTCCAAGGCCACTGACTCCGCTTCCTGTGGGGGAGGTTCGGATGACAGGACGGCGGCAGAGGGTAGCGGCGTTCAGAAAAATGGCGATGCCGTTGAGGGGGATGGAGATGTCGATGATATTCTCAAGTCCATCCGCGTGGTGACCGATGTCATGGAGTCTCTTGTCAAGAGAGTGATTGTGGCCGAGTCCGAAACTGCGAATGAGAAAGAAAAGGTGAGGATTGGGTTGGAAGAGATCAGGAGGAAGACCATTCAGGTCGAGTCCATGTCGGTCAAAGTCGAGGAGATGGAGAAGTTTGCGGTGGGTACGAATGGTATGCTGAACGAGATGAGGCAGCGGGTTGAAGATATGGTGCTGGAGACTACACGGCAGAGGCAGCGCGCCACTGAAAATGAGCAGGAGCTTAGTCGTGTGAAGAACGACTTTGAGTCGCTCAGAACTTATGTCAGCACACTTGTTAGTGTCAGAGAAACTCTTCTTTCATCGGAGAAGCAATTCGAGACAATGGAAAAGCTTTTTGACAGGTACTTCCGCAAGTCTCGTGTTGTTTCTAGTAATTATATTCTGTCTAAATGTATAACCATGTGTTAATTTCCCTGGCAAAACTTGTATAGCTTGGTACAGAAAACTTAAAAAAAAAATGGCGGAGGAAGGAAGAGTAGAAATAGTTAATTTCAACCTCCTGATTTTGAACAAAGCAGCAGCATGAACCAATTATTTCATAAATTCTGGCATGACCGTGTTTTGATATGCTTCTACCACCACCACCACCAACAACAACAACAAACCCTTTCAGTCCCAAACAAGTTGGGGTAGGCTAGGGTTGAAACCCATAAGATCTTTAAACAAAAGTGTGGTGGTTGGACTCGAACCCAGTACCTCCCATTACTTTCATCTCCCTCCTTCCAATGGAGTATGCAATGATTTCTTTGATAGGCATTTACCGTTGCATAATTTTACTTTGTTGCCAGTGGCGGAGCCAGAACTTTTGTGAAGCCTGGGCAAGCTTGAGCCTAAGTGTCTAATCTGGAAATTAAAATCGAGTGTTCGGATACACAACATATAACATAGCCCCAAACATAGTAGTCATGCAATTTTAGTTTTAAAGTGAACTAATATATGATATATCAATATCCAGTTTTGTAGACCAAAATAAAGTTGAGACTTGACAACATAAGTCATATAACCGCGCATCCATAGAACCAAACTTGCCATGTTGCCAGTAAAAGTATAGCTATCCAAACATCCTAGAAGACACTACAAGATTAAAAAAATGGATTCTAATTCACATAAATTAAGTGCTGTGATTTGTGAACATATTCAAATTAGAGAGCTTGCATGAATAGAGATAGTCAGATAGAACATACCACTAGTGTGCTGTAGAAAATCACAGAGCATGCAAGTGCCGTCATGGCGAACAGGGCTGTGACTGCTCGTGTTCCTGTCGAGTAGTTGTTTTGGAAGAAGGGAAGTTAGCAGCTCATGACTGCAACATTACGCTTGGTCAGGGGACTGCGCTTGGTAGGCCTAGTTAATTAACCAATTAGTCAAATATTAGTCGATGCTTGGTAGGAGCCCATTGTTTATCACATATGTACATTGACTGCTGCCCGTGTAAACCATGTCACGCAGTAGAATTTGCCCCATTGTTTATCACGTATGTACGCTGTCCTGTGGCCAGCGAGCCCGGGCGCTGGCTCCGGCCCTGTTTTATGCATTATTGAATGTGAAGCCATGGTAGACTTGTAGTTACCATGATTACCATCTTAACAATATATTCAATCAGCTATGCATTGAACTAGTTTGTAACATGGTCAGCATTATAAACTCATTGGCACATCTTAACAAAATATTCAATCAGCTATGCATTGAACTTGTAACATGGTCAGCATTATGGACTCATTGGCATATCTTAACAATATATTCAATCAGCTATGCATTGAACTAGTTTATAAGCCAAAAAGACGCGTATCTTCGAGATGCAAAACAAAATTAGTCTTTGTGCAGGTATGCTAATGCTGTTTTAGTACTATATGTTTGATCTTCTGTTAGCAATTCCATTTTTTTTTACCAAAAGGGGTTCCCCTCTGCCCCATTTTTATTAAAACAAGGCATTAGCAATTCCATCTTTGCAACTAAATGGGTCCTACCTTTTCTTTGAACCTCAGGCCACACAACATATCTGTTTTGTTATAAATTAGCACTTAAAATGCTATGCCTAGACTTCTCTGTGTATCACATATTGTCATCAGTTTGATCACCCACTTCATCGTATATGAGGGGATTTGGTGAGACTGAGAAGTCTGCTGATATCTTCTTACAATTATGTTAACTATACATCATGCAACCATTGGTTGACACAGTTACTACTCTTCTATCACACCTTGACATCTGATAGAGAGTTGCCATCTAATTTGTTAAGTTGGTTCCATATACTGCTCTCCTGAATGCAGCAGTTCTGTGCCTCAATCGTGTCCCAAATGTTTATTGATATTTAGTGGTCAAGAAGATGCAGATAGACTTGGGTAAGCCTGAAAATCTGGTTTTCTGCCGGTCCGCATTTGGTCCAAAATTGCAGTTCTTGCTCTTTTCTGACCTTCTAGATGTTTCGATTAAGAATTGACATTTTGGATCATTGATCTTTCTACCGCTTGCATGACATTGGCTAAATCGTATGCATTGTCCATTGCCTTCTTCCTACTTTCTTCTTCTGCTCTCTGGTTGATACTAGTCAGCATATCCTAGTCATGGAATTTTACACTGAGGTCTCCTGGTGAACAGGTTGGTCATTTAGCTTGACAAGAGACCAACCTTAGATCTTTTGCTATGCAGACAAGCAGTGCAATTGAGGGCGAGTAGTTGCTTTTGCTTGTTAGGTTCTAGGCTTCGTTCCCTTCAATACAGGTCCGCTCTGTAAATATTAACCACTCTCTGTTTACTGAATAGGCAGTTCTCCTGCCCCCTTTGCTTCAGAAAAGGAAAAATCTGTTCTAAAAAAAAGGATCTTATCCTTCCCCGCCTCCCTTCCACAGAAAATAAGTCCCTGACTGGTGCGTAGGAATGATCAAATTTGTAGATATAACAGAGATAATGCACTCACATTGCTGACAGTTCCTTTCCTTGTACAGCAAGTAATGTAGGCTTAAAAATCAGGCCACTCTAGCATGTACTGTTAAGTAAGCATTGAGTCGGTTATCTATAACCAATACTGTACTGAGCCTCGTATGCTTGTGAACAGGCTAGTCGCAAGGACCAACCAGCTCGAGACCGAGAAAGCACAGAAAGAAGCCGAAGTCCAGAAGGTGATGGAGGAAAATGTGAGGCTACGTGCCATGGTCGACAAGAAGGATGCACAGCTCCAGGCGATGAGTGAGCAGTGCAAGTTCATGGCTCTGAACCGTCCAAACTAGCGGAAGACAGATACACCAGATAAGAAACCTGCTCTTGTCCAACTGATGTCACTTACAGTTACATTGCCGCGGCAGTGAAAAGAAAAAGAAGTTATATCCCTGGGGGTCCCGAATAACCGACGATGATGCCATGTTCCTGGGTCCGTGATTCGTGGTGCAAACCCAATCGTGAATTGTTGTTACCTTAGATGTGGTGTGTCGAAATTGCAGCCATGACAGACATTTGTTGTATCTTGATTGTGTGTGTAAAGGCTGGGCGCATTTGCCTGGTTTTCGTGAATCATAGAGATGTATAACTGCAGTTCCATTCATCCTTATGCCTGAACCATATAGTTCAGCCGCTGTTTTAACTGTGGTGCTGTTAAAAATAACTGAAATGTTCCCGTGAAAAAATAGCTGAAATATTTTCCTTATAGATAGACTGGTTATATTCGCATCAACTCTCTTTAAGCCCTGCTTTGCATAGCTGTGGGTCCACTACTTGATCATAGTTAAGCAGATGGTCTCCTTGCATGCTTCTTAACTCGCCCTTAGAATCGGAGCTGCAATGTCGTCAATGTGGGTGGTTGATTGCTTGGCTTGGATCTTCATGCGGCATTTCGCGGCCTTTGAGTTTTGTCGGTGGTCATTTACGGTGAAGTCAGAGTCGCTTGCTCAATGGCAGTGTTGTTGGTGGTCATTTTGTGGTGAAGTCAGAGTCACTTGCTCAATGGCGGTGAAATCGAGTGAAATCGAGTCGCTTGCTCACGGAGAAGCGATGACGATGAGGACAACATTTTCTTTGCAGCATTCCTTTGCGCCTTAAGATTGATCTGTGTAGACATTTGTTTGCTACACAGCAACACTGCTACTCCTTTGCGCCTTAAGATTGATCTGTGTAGACAATAGCTCATGTGTCTCTAAACTTCATGACTAGAACGCCGGACCACCCCGCGGCACGGAACGCTGCCGCCGCTGCGAGGCCACCGCCGTTGCAGCTGCCGTAGGCCATCGCCGCCGCCGCACTGTTGAACGTGATATATTTGTATTGCTATTCCTATCTCCTCTAGTGATGTGACCCATGTGTTGACAGTACTGATCTTGTTAATAAGGCAGGAAGACAGGAGAAGTATATTGTGCCTGCACTGCGTCAACAAGTTAAAATGACGAGATTGTCAGATTGTACAACATCGGCGCAGCAACAAGAAAATAAAATTTACAAAAGAAGCAACAAAATGTCTGTGTTTCATGACATGGTTGCAGGGAGAAGAGGACACGGAGGTTGGACAGCACGAAGCGCGCAGTGCATGACCCAGTTCAAGAATGATTTTTGCTCAAGTCGTTCACACAGTCATCGACACGTAACATGCAGAAAGGATCACCTGGCCTCGGTCCGTACGTTAGCCGGGTCCAAAAGCCTGAGCAAAAACGACAAATTTGACCTATGGACGAAATCAAATCACAAAATGAACTGTCCGTGAAACTATTTCACGCGGCTGACCTTTTTGTGTGACGCCCGACACGAAGGCGTCACACTACACTGTGCAACGCCTCGCAGATAGGCGCTACACGCCTGGCCAGCGTCGCATCCATGTGATCCGAAAATTACTAAGTCAGTGTGCAGCGCCTGAGAGCTGTTGCTTCATTTTGTAGTGCAACCACTAGTGCAGCGCCTAAGAGCTAGGCGCCACACTATACAGTGCAGCGCCTAGCTCGTAGGCTCTGCACAATGACTTAGCAATTTTTAGACAGTTTGGGGTGCAACGTTGGCCAGGCGTGTAGCGCCTATCTGTGAGGCGTTGCACAATATAGTATGACGCCTTCGTGTCGGGCGTCACATAAAAAGGTCAACCGCGTGAAATAGTTTTACGAACAGTTCATTCTGTGATTTGATTTCGTTCACAGGTCAAATTTATCAAATTTGCCAAAAGCCTGTATGCTAATTTCTACCGAGAGAAAGCTACATGCATGTAACGTGTGCGTCCAAGCATGTACACGTTTTTCTTAGGAAAGGTTAATTGGCCTGCGTGCCTAATTGGCCGGTTGTAATTAAACAACAGTTAGTTCGGTTAGGATTTTTAGGAGGTAGTACAAGTCGGTTCCGATCTACTTTAGGC